AATTTCAGTGGATCGACTTCATCTTCAACTACCGACAGTGATCTATTTATGTCTTCTCTCGTGCCACTTAAACTGCAATGCTCAGTTAACCAAAAAATATCAACAATTTGACAAAACCATACTCCATCATCAAAATTCCATCACAAAATTCTTACTTTTGTCTTTTTTGATTTTTTCATCCAAATCATCAAAATTTGGGATGCATGACTTCACACTTTGTACCAACTAACATGTTTCACATCTGACTTGTGATAATCCTTTAACTCTTTAAAAAGAATATTTGTCAGACAATTTTATTATTTAACTTATTTTGAATATTAAATAGGTAGGTGATGTCATATTTTAATTTGTGGATAATTTAAAAGTTAAGTTATTCACAGTGTACCTCACCTATTTAATGTACCAACCTATGTGCTATAAAAATATAATACAATTTACAAGATCGTTGAAATAATGAAATGTAACAAATATTATGTTCTTACTTTTTCGGTATTTTTTTTGGAATAATGCATTTTAGCTCAGTGGCGTATTTAGACATTTTGCATGGAAAGATTCTAGATAATTTGGGAGGGCATAAAATATCCGAAAATATTTTCTGTTATCGTGGTCTGTCCTTGGATTGGTGCAAGCTGTACCGCTATAACCTCGGCGTCGCGGTCGTGAACGGTCTTGATTGAACCACCATAATATGTCTTGGATTCGAGGTTTATGGTTCGGTTATAGTCGCCTAAATTTGTAAACTTTCTCACTCTTTTTTTTGCTTACACTTTTTTTTTGTGGTTGTTATGGTAAAATAAAAAAAATAATTTATCCTTATGCTAAAAAATAAAAGTACATAAATGATTATTTAATAATATTACTCTTATTGCACTATCCTATCTCGACACCTTATTCTTAAATTTATTAATTAATTACTATGCATGAAGGTAAAGTGATATCGTAAGATTTTTTACGCACTGAAAGTCGTTAGAATGATATACGGGTAACAAAATTTGATAATGTACTAGAAAAAATTAAAACTGTTGTAATTGTGCTTGCTGTACATAACTTAATAATTGAGGTATGATATTCTTATTGTATTTCCTTTTAGTATCTATTTTATTTTGCTGATTTTTGATTTACTGAGCTACTATTTTATTAGTACTTCGTAGACTATTTCGAATATTGCAATTCAACATTTGCTTGTGTTTACCTTATTAATTTTACGTGTCTCATTTAAAAAATCTATATACATGGTATTCTTAATATATATTTACCAAGTAAAATTCAAATTCACATTTTTATGTGTTGTAATAAAAACATTTTGTATGTTTTCATTAGGCAAGCATATTCGATAATAATTTTATTTCTTTTCCCATATTTATTATACGTTATATTTATTATAGTCATTTTATACTATAATTACAATTATTCTAATGCAGTATTTTACGTTCTTTATATTGTTTTAACTGACTAACATGTTTGTATTCGTTTACTAACAGTCCATTTTTAATTATTTCTACTACATAACTTACATCCGATATTTGTTTCATTATTTTAAACGGGCCGTTGTACCTGTAAGCACATTTAGATTTTCTATTTTCGTCTTTAACAAGTACTTTTTCGTTTAATTTAAATTTTACCTGTACCTTATTTGAGTCATAATGTTTTTTATTTTTTAAATATCTGTCCGCTAATAATTTTGGGAGTTCGTCTCGAATATTTTTTAATTTTTCTAATTCCAGTAAAATTTCGGGGGATGTTTCTGTACTTATAAAGTTGTGATCAAATATGGATTTTGGATTATATCCGTGTAATAGGTAAAACGGTGTGTTTTTCGTTGTATCATTAATTGCTGTGTTATACGCAAATAGTACATATTTTAAGTATAGACTCCATTCTTTTGGTTGTTTCTGTACAATTTGGCTAATCATATCTATCAAAGTCCCGTTGAACTTTTCTGTCTGGCCTTGGCTCTGGGGACGATATGCAATTGAATATGTGTTATTTATATTTAGCGCTTTTAGTAAGTCTTTCACCAATTTATTTGCAAAATGTAAGCCTCGGTCAGGGTGTTTTTCGCCTATTGCTCCGAATTGTAAAATTATATCTATTAAATATAATACTGTCGACCTTGCGTCAGCGTTTTTGTATGATTTTGGTATAGCGTATTTTGTAGTTGCGCAAGTTCCTACCAAAATATATGAGTTGCCATTGCTTGTTGGATTAATTGGCCCAATATAATCTATTGTAAATCGTTGAAATGGTCTACCAATAATTTTTGGTGATGTTAGCATTTGACCATGGGTCGCTTTTTTATCCGATTTCCTTTTTTGACATATTTGACATATTTCCGTACGTCTTTATATATAGTGGGCCAAAAATATCGTTGAATAATTTTATTGTATGTCTTGTCAATGCCTAAGTGTCCTGATAAGGGGTGATCATGGAAATCGTTTAAAATTTCATTTTTACGGTTGTCTGGTAATGCTATTAAATTTATAGATTGCCCCTTAGCTAAATGTTTATACATGAGTATTTGGTTTTCATTTATAAAATAATTTTTTGATTTTCTTATCCATATATGGGCTGAAAGTTCTGGGTTCTGTATTGCTTTAATAATATTTGCATATGTATCATCACGTAATTGTTCCAGGTGTATATTAATAGTTTTTACTGTGCAAATTGTCAGTTCATTATCCTTTTGTATTTCTTGTTCTATAGTGGGTGGTTCAAACACTGGATTTCGGGACATAGCATCGCATACTTGATTTAAGAGTCCTTTTCTATATTTAATTGTTATGTCGTAGTCTATAATTTTACTTTTTAGTCTCTGAATTCTTGTTGATAGTGATTTAATATTGTCTAAATATTTTAACGGAGCATGGTCTGTAGATATCTCTATTTGTGTGCCGTATACGTATGGTCTAAAGGTTTCGAGCGCATATACTATTGCTAATAATTCTAGTTCAATTGCACTATATTTCTCTTCAGTAGCAGTGACACGTCGAGAAATGCATGATACGGGATGTAATAATTCGTCACCTTCGTCCTTTTGTAATAAAACACTTGCAATTCCTATTTTACTCGCATCGGTCCATACGACTATTGGTAGGTTTGGGCTGAAATGTTTTAACAACAGTGGGTTTGTTAACTTTTCTTTAAGTATTTTAAACGTTTCTGTGTGTTTATTTAGCCATTTTACCGGAGATTTTTTTGATTCGAAGTGGCCTCTAGTTAAATCGGTTATAGGCGCTACAATTTCAGCGTATCTTGATATGAACTTTCTAAAAAATTACATAAACCTAAAAAACTTCTTGTTTGTTTTATATTTTCTGGAATAGGTTCTGAAAAAGGTTAGTACCGTAAGTAATATAATATATTATACAATTATATTTTCTATGACGACCTAATAAAAATATTATTAAATAGAAATTTGTACATTCATTGGACATTTTTAACTATTATAGTATTACTAAATTAACATGCTTATGTATTTCATAGATGCATTATGTATATCAAGATTCTGAAATAAATAATGCAAAGTATGTATTAGTTCAGTCAGAAGTGATACATAATATGCACTTCAAGGATTCCTTTTACTGGCCAAGTACAATTATTGATGATAACTTCATAGCATATTGCATTGAAAATGGATCAGCATTTTTTCAAAATGATAATTGTTCATTTGAAAAGTCAGCTAGAAGGAAAGGTGAATATAGAAAACTTATATATATATATATATATATAAATATTATATTATATAGGCTATAATATAATTAATTTTAATTAGATACAAAAATCATTATTAAACATTTTTAATTAAAATAAGTAATTCAAAATATTTACAATATAAAACAAATTCAGTTCATAAAATATGTTATTAAAATATTTAACACATTATATAATAATATGTAATTTATATATATATTTAATATTTAATAATTATGTATAAGCAAATGATTTGGCATGATAACCTAAATTCTTATAAGCCCTTATTTTTAAATTAAAAACAGAAAATAATATATCAAAAATTACCGAAGTCCTTGTAGGTGTATAAAAACAGAATAAAAATTAAATATAACCTAAATCCTGTTAGGAATATTAAAAATAATATATTTTAAAAATGACTTAGGTCTTTTTAGGGAACCTATATTCATAATAGTAAATTTTAAAATAACCAAAATTTTAAACAGTTTTATAATTTAATTAAATATTTTTTTTGGTGAAACTTGCAAACCCCTTTTTATGTATCTATATTAAATACAAAACATATATTAACAATTACCTAAGGCCTTTTAGGTGCATTAAAAACAGAATAGTACATTTTAAATTAATAATAAAAAAAAAAAGTTTCATAAATTATTTAAATTGTTTCTTTATGAGGTTTGCCACTTGAAACTTAATATTTTTCCATCCCCTATCAACTAATATTGGCTCATTTTTCATAGCTAATAAACAATCATGTTGTTGTGGTACTTTACCAAGAGAAATAAATTTCCCAAGACTTCTTTTTACCGCTTCAAGTTCTTTAGCTGTCCATACTTTATAATTTTTTCTTTTAGATTGGGTTTTGTCATTTTGTTTTATTTTTTTTTTGCAGGTACAGCTTCAGGAATATCTTCATCACTGCATTGGATTAATCCATTCTCATCATTATCTACAAATTAAAACATGATAAGATCTAGCCTTAAAAAAAAATATTGATTCATACCTTCATCGAGTTCTACATTTGAATCTGAATCTGTGTTTATTTGAGGTATGAAACTGTCTAGCTCTTCTATCGACTTTCCTTTTATCTCTTAAAAACGGCCAGAATCAACAGCTAAAAGAATTTTACTAACACGGCTTAATTGTAATGTTTCATTGGGTAACCTGTAGTACTCGTCATGTATGGATAAATTATGTCCCATAAATGTAGCCAATTGTTGCCTATCATTATCTGACAAACATAATAGTTGTGTCATTGTTGCTACATGCTTTCGCAACTTTGTAGAACGTAAAAGTTCTGGAGAAGTGGCTCATGACTTGGTTGCAGCGTCCCTCAAACAGTCAGTTCCTCTATAAGATCCTTCGATTGTAAATGGTGTGGCAAACATGTATGGGTTCGATTCTAAAATATTGAAAGACTTTCTCATTTTTATTAAAATATCAACAGCTTTTTGCATATCAGGTGTTAGAAGCACTGGTACACCTCTACCTCGTTTCCCTCTGATTTCAAATCTTACAAGATTCTTTGAAAGTTGATTTTCTACAGAACTTAGTGCCTTTTGAATATCTTCTTGAATTTTATTTTTGTCACGGTTAAGATAATTTTCAATTTTTATTCGCTCCACTTCTCCTGATCTTCGTCTGTTGAGTATTATAATTTGTGTCAGTAAGGTTTGACAAACTAATTTATATACATCCTTGTTAATTTCACCACTTTGAATGCAATTCATTCCTTTTGCCAGTTGACTTGATAAATATGTGTGCAGAATACTAATGTTTTTGGCATCAGGCAAAGCTATAGATTTATTAAATTTTTTTGTCCCAATATCTTGATTTGCATTTGAAGATACTGAAAATTTCCATTCAGTTTGGAACACTTGCAAAAAATCATTGACTACCTGTATTTCGTCTCTCGGATGGTTGTTGATCATAAGTTGTGTTTTTAAAATTTCGGCACATTGTGTTATGGTATGTCCTATTTTTAGTGCATTGCTTGGATGTGTATAAGTATTCAGGTCTTCATTATATTGACCTAGTTTCTTTGCTGCTTGAACAATATTAACAAAATAATTTGGTTTTAAAAAGTCTTTTAGGTGTCTTAAAACAGGAACTAAAGTGCGGAGTATTATTAAAAATGTTGATAGTTGTCGAACTCTCTGTGAAATATAACGTTTCAAGTGGTGTTCACGGTGATTTTGGAGTAATCTACTACCAAATGAACAAATGAGACTATCGTCTCGAGCAACAGATGTGACATTGTCACACCTCATGGTACCAAGTACCTCAGTTACAAATTGTTTGTGGTCATTTTCAGTTTGTAAGAGCATTACACTTGGAAAAATGATTTTATTTCTTTTTCTTGTAGGTTCTCCAGTACTACATTCAGATATGTCTTTAAACTTGCATATTTTTACATGTCGGTAAAGCTTTTTCTTTTTGCAAAATTTATAACAGTATGACACGGCTACACTGGTATGCTGGTAGGCCGGTCGTTGTTGTGGGTGCGTGTTGATGCACTCGGCACAAACGCACAACTTAATAGTTTAAATAAACGAAATCAACAAACGGAAAACACGAACGTGGTGGTTGTGTAAATGCCGGGTGGCGTTTATTTAACGTGAACGGTAAATAGTTATAATATAAAACCCCGTGATCGGGTGAATGCAAGTATTTTACAAATATCAAGTACAAAAAGAAAAACGGATACGATGGATCGCGTGGGTTAGGTACGAGATCAGATCGTGACGGTGGTCGAAGAACGAGAGAGAGCCGGCGGCCGGTACTCGTCCTACGCGCCTTGCCTCCCCGTCCCGCCTTGCCTTTGCGGCGTGGTGGGAGAGTTGGCGGTGTCGCGCTTGTAGCCCGTGGTGGCGGTTTGTGAAGTGCAGATAGGTAGCTCCGACGCCTGTACTTTGTACTGGTCGTCGGTTGCGTACCGTATCATACTCCCCCGCCAAACCGCCGCACGGGGTACAATTTTACCGGTGCCGGCGTCCCTTGTGTTGTAGCTTGCGCTACCCCTTGCCAGTGCTTGGGGTAGGCTTGCCGTTCCCGTGTTCATTTATTCCCTTGTCGGGGATGTGGCTGGGGTGAAGAAGGGTTGTGGGTACACCGTTTCCCCCCCTGTAGCCCCTCCAGCCGCTTGTCTTGCTCATCCAACCATGCGTCGTAGGAGGTTTGCTCCTCGTCCGACGTTGGTTGTGGTTGAGCTTGGCAAGTTGACCCCCCCCCCGCTCCTCGGCCTTTTCGTCCTTGGTCGCGGATTGGTCAACCTCCATGGCTTCCGGAGGTGTAGGTTCGGTTGGGGGGCGGCTGGCCGTGTCGGGATTTGAGGTTGGTTGGGTGCGCTTGGCAAGCCTATGTGCTTGCGTTGCCTGGCGTTCCCGTTCCAACCTTTTCTCCTTCAACTTTTGGAACTTTTTTTTGATCCGTGCTTGCTGCGCCTCCGTCCTTACCTTGACTACTGCGGTTGGGGTTCCCCCTACCACCAAGGGTACCGGTGCTGGCTCCCTGGGTGGTACTGGGGCGGTTGCCCTTGTTGCCCCTGTGGGGGCCCTTTGTGTGTGGGGTCCGGCTTGTTGTGGGCGTTGTTGCCGTGTGATGGAGTTGGTGCGGCTGCCGTGTGGTGTGGATGACTGTTGTGGACGCAACCGCCGCTCCACGTCCGCTGTCCGGTCGTCCCATCCACGGTTGTAAATTGCCGCCCTCACCGGGTCCTGTAACAGTTGACGTAGTGGCATCCGGCGTACCTGCGCGGCTGTTGTCGGCATGTCTGTGTGGACCAACCCAAGTTGGCTGATCAGGGCCGCCACTGGTTCCCATCTGTCCTCCCCTTGTCTTGCCATGGTGCTAGAGAGGGGTGGTTAGTAGTGAATACAAAAAAAAAATAATTTTAAAATAAAAAAAAAATTTTATTTTATTTTTGTCCTATGGGCGCGCGTTTTAGGCAAGACACATGTATTTTCCGTGGCGGTTGTTGATCGGTAAGGAAAACTCCTTTTCCGACCCGTTTTGCTAGCCTTACCGGTCCCCACCATTTTGGTGCAAATCCGGCATGGAAGTCCTTATGTGCCTTCGATAAGTGATGTGCTTTGTAGTAGACTATGTCGCCCTTGCCGAACTTCCCCGGTGTGCCAGTGTTCGTACTCGGTGTTACCACTACCTTTTTGCCTAAAATACGTTGCTCCCGCGCTACCCTTTCTTCTTGATTTTTGCGGACGTGCGTTGGTGTCGATTTACCTACTGTCCAATCCCCGGGTCGCTTGCACTCTCTGCCTAAGACAAGGACCGCGGGTGGGTAGCCTGTTTGTTCGTTACACCTGTTACGTATTGCAAATAGAATTTCGGGTAGCTTTGTGTCCCATGATTTATGTTTGCCCTCGACCAGCCTTGCGCGCAAGCCTTTTTTTATGTCTTGGTTGTGGCGTTCTACCGGGTTGGCCCTCGGGTGGTAGACTGGTGTCGTCCAACCTTGTGCCCCCCAACGTTCTAACGCGTCTAACATTTCGTTTGACACAAACTGTGGGCCGTTATCGCTGAGACACACGCGGGGGTAACCGAAACGTGAAAAAAACTCGCGTTCTAGCGTTTCGATTATTGTTTTCGAGGTTGCTGTTCCTAGGGGGTAAGCCTCGGTCCACCTACTAAAACAGTCAGTTGCTACCAGTATATACGATTTTCCCTTACCGGAACGTGGGTATGGGCCCATCAGATCGACACTGATAACTTCCCATGGTTGGCGGGGGGTTCTAGGTTGTATTGGGTCGGTTGGGCGTGAGTTTAGCGGTTTCGTGCACGCGCATACGTGGCACGCCCCGACATATAACCTTACGTCGTTCTTTTGCCCTTTCCAATAATACCGTTGTCGTACCGCCCTGTATGTTTCTTTCCAACCCGGATGGTTAGACAGAACGTGATCGTGACACCTCCATATTACCTGTTGCGCTTTGGTTTTTGGTATCACGACGGGTGTGTGGGGGCCTACGTTTATACGTAGGAGTCCTTCGGAAAAAACGTATGCGTTTGTTCCCGATTTTGAGCTCCTAGTGTTCTGCGCAGGGCCGTCCCCCCTGTGACCGGCGACTACGTCGCAAATCGTGGCGTCTTCGGACTGCCATTTTTGGAGAGTCGTCGCGGTGAGCGGTGTGTCGTCACTGACCTGGTTATCGCGCATAGAAAAGATACGATCGGTTTTGAGGTCTACTTTGGTTGTTGGCGTTGCGGGCGCCCCTACCAACTTTTCCTCAAGTTGATCTTCGTCTACGGGTGCCCCCGGTGCTGGGTCGCGATATAACAAATCCGGTGCTTCGTTTTGTATTCCCGGGACGTGTACCGTACTGAAATCTAAATTAGCTAGTTGTAGTGACCAACGTGTTAATTTTGAATTTTTGTCTTTGGCCCTGTATAACCATGTTAGTGCCGAGTTATCTGTTAGTAGTTCAAAACGTCGGGTCTCTAGGTATGGTCGAAATTTGTCCGTTGCCCAAATTACTGCTAGGCACTCGCGTTCTACCGCGGCGTACCTCGTCTGTGTCTCGCTAAACTTTTTGCTTGCGTAGGATATGATGCGTCTTTCCTCCGGTCTGTCACCCCGTTGGAATAGTACCGCACCAGCTCCTATCTCGCTTGCATCGGTCTGGAGACAAAATGTTTTGTTGTAATCTGGTGGGGACAATTTCGGCGATGTGACTAACGCGTTTTTTATTGACTTGAACGCGCGTTGTTCGACATCCGTCCATTTCCACCTATTCCCCTGTTTCAATAAATTTGTTAGGGGTGCTATGGTGTCCGCGTAGTTGTCTACGAACTGGCTGTACCAGTTGCATACCCCTAAAAATTTTCGTACGTCAATAACGTTACGTGGAACCGGAAAATTGTCAATGCAGACTAATTTTTCCGGTTGCTTTTGTATGCCTTCCGAGTCTACAATGTGCCCCAAAAATGAAATTTCGCGTAGTCCGATTTTGCATTTTTTTGTGTTGCACGTTAGTCCAAACCTCTTGAGACGCTCTAGAACTTTGTCTAAGTGGGCCTGATGTTCGTACTCGTTCCTTGAAAATACTACTATATCGTCTAGGTATACTTGTACGAACTCATCCTGGTACACCCTCATTACTTCGTTCATGAGTCTCACGAAAGTCATTGGACTATTTTTGAGACCGAAAGGGAGAACTCAAAATTGAAATAGCCCTCTACGTGTTCGAAATGCCGTGTATTTTCGTGCATTTTTGTGTAAGGGTACTTGCCAGTACCCCGAGCGAAGATCAAAAATACTGAAAATTTTCGCGCCCCGCATTTGTCTAATCATTTTGTTGAGATCTGGCATAGGGTACGCGTCGGACTCCGTTACGTCGTTAAGCCGCCTGTAGTCGACACAGAGGCGGAATGATCCGTCTTTTTTCTTTGCCAATACTACTGGTGCGGCCCACGGTGAGGTGCTAGGTTCTACGAGCCCCTGGAGTTCCATATCGCGCACCATATCGTCGATAGTGGTTTGTTTTTGTTGCGGATATGGGTATGGTTTGAGCGCGATCGGGGACGGGTCCTTAAGCAAAATTTCGTGTTCAATTAGTTTGGTACGTCCTACTTTTTCGCTGAATACTACCGCGTATTTGTTTAAAATCTTGGTTAGTTTCGCGCGAGTTTCGGGGTCGTTTCCAAATTGTAATTGTGACAAGTCGGGACAAGTGGCGGGTGGTTGGGACTTCCCTTTCCAACATGTTGACGTTCGTATTTGCTTACCCATGTGGATTGTGCACGCGGCGTAGTCCCAAGAGACTTCATTGTTTACAAGAAAGTCGTGTCCTAGTAACGCGTCGCAATACAAATTGTCTAGGACGGTAGCTTCGAATTTAATGTCGAGTGCACCTATCCTAGTTTCGAATGTGGAGGTGCCACTGGTTGTTGCAGTATGACCGTCCGCCATCCGGACTGTGCTTGTTGGTCCGTGGGGAGGTGTTTTGCCGTATTTACGGGCTACTGTCGGGTTTACGTACGATTTTTGTGCCTGCGAATCTAATAGAGCTGTTACGAAGCCTGACGGAAATTCGAGCTCGACCGCGGGGGTCGGAATTTTGTCTGGGCGTGTTCGCGTATCATTATTAGTCGTAGTGCAATCGGTCGAACGGGACAATTGGTTCTTAACCGCGACGGTAACTGTCTGGTCGTCGGTGTCAACCGCCATGACCATACTGTCAACGTCGGTTGCCTCGTTGCTCGCCTCTTGCTGTACGTGCGCAGATTGACCTAATGCGGGGATAAGCGTAGTGTGTGTGCTTGTATCCCCGTCACCTGTGCAGGTGAACACCCGTGTCTCTGTTGCCTTTGT